CCTGCCCCTCCCCAAACAAAAAAAACAACAAAAATCCCCAGCAAATTCCAATGGCTTCTCGCCTTTCCCAATCCACTATTCTCAATCACTTGGCTTTCGCTGCTGCTTTGTAACTCTGTCCCCCTTGCCCCCCACTGTCTATTCTTAACACAGCAGCCAGAGCAATCTTGTTAAACCCTGCCTTCACATCACAGTCACCCTGCTACTCAAACCTCACAACGGGGTACCACCTCACCGAGGCAAAGCTGAAGTCCTTCCAGTCAAGCCCTGCAGGATCCGCCCTCCACGAGGCCGCCCCATCTCTCTGGTCTCAACTCAGCATTCTAGCCTCCTCTAACGCCCCATCCAGCAACCCCTCACACACACACACACACACACACACACACACACACACACACACACAAACACGCACACGCACACGCGCACACACACACACACAATACCCATTTTTGATCTAGCTGTTCTTCTACCTGGGTGCCCCTCCCCCATCTGAGAGCCTCGCCCCAACAGGTGTCTGTTCAAACACGAAGTCATCAGCCAGGACCCCTTTGATCATGCTGTTTACGCCAGTCACCACCCTTCACACTCATTCCCTTCTCTGAAATTGTGTCTGATACTCTGTCCTGTTAGTAGTGCCCCCTCCTGCCTCCCTCTAGAAGCTGAGCACATAACAATGGGGATTTTCAAGGGTTTTTATTTGTTTGTTTTTTGGTTTTTTATTTCCTGCTCTATCCCCTTTGCCCAGAATAGAGTTGGGCATATAAGAGGCACGCAGTAAATATTTGAATGTACGGTATTAGGGTGAGATCTACAAGTCCTCAAGAGGCAGCCTGGCCCTGGAGATGTCCCAGCACACTCTGTGTGTCCTGCTGAGCCACAAGGTTGCCCATCTGGAGAGAGTGGGGAAGCCCTAAGGTCCTTTGCCACAGCAGCATTCTAGAATGTGTGGTGTTCATGTTGCTGTGGGAGGAGAGAGAGCTCATTCCTTCCTTCCAGCCAAGACCTGGGTTGAGTCTTGGGTGGCTTTGACTGAAAAGCAAGTTTCTGACTTAGACTTGGCATGGCTCTAGGAACCCCAGGTGAGAGGTCCAGCCCTACCTGCTGAGCAGAGGCCTGGCCACTAAGCTGGGCTTCTCCCTGTGGGAGCTGTCCCTGTGAGGGCAGCACGGGAGCACACTAAAGACACAATGCTTGAGAGGCACATGGGCAAGCATCAGGAGGCTGCTCCATGAGGCCAATGCCAGTCCAGGTTACATGAAACCCCATTTAAAAAAAGAATGGACTTGTGAAAGAAGAACCAGGGCAGGACCTGGACTGGAGAGGACATAGACAACCCTCAGGCGGTGCTGGGTGGTTTAGCCTCCACCCAGACATGGCCATTCTTCAGGCCCTTGCTATAGCCGACCCAGGGACAGCATGATTGGCCTTTTGGCTGAGCACAGCCCAGTCCTTCTCCCTTTTCTGGGCTTTGCCACAGCACCCTGCTTGTTTTCCCCAAAATAAATGGCTGAGCATATTGGGCCGGCAATAACCCCTTGAAATCAGTTGCTATCACAGTTAACAACCAGTTTGGCTTCAGTTCAGGCTGTTAACTATCAAACCACTAAGTGTGGTAATGATTGATTCTTGGCCAGTTGCAGCTTGAGTGGGCTGTAAAACCCCATTAGTGAGGGCTCTGTGGAGGCAGCAACTCAAAGATAAACAAATTGGTGGGTGCTCCAGCCTGGCTTCATCCTACTGCTCTATGCTCAGCTCCCATGGGTCCCTGGCCTGGGGGAAAGCAGCAGGCAGGCAGCCTGGGGGAAAGCGGCAGGCAGGCAGCCTCAGCAGATTCCTGCCTCCTGCCCACGCTCTGGCCGGCAGGCAGGCAGGCAGCCTCAGCAGATTCCTGCCTCCTGCCCACGCTCTGGCCTCTCCCCTGAGTGCATCTCTTCCCTCTGTAGAAGGCAGGTCTGACCCTCTAGGTGTTCACCTCTTCTACCTAGATGCCAACACAGTTCAGTTCCAGTGATACCTCTGAAGACTCACTCAGGTGCTCCGAGCCCAGAGGCTTGAGGCTTAGCTTTGGCCTAGTCACCAACCACCCTTGGCCCAGCCAGGCCTCACTTTGTAGCTGGGATCACAGGCGGAGAGCCTGACATTCCATCACCCTCTAGACTCCCTCCCACTCCGTGGTTTTCCCCAGGAATTGCTCTCAAACAAATGAAATGTGGGTAATTACTGGGCTGGGGGCTGGACAGGCGACCGTGCAGATGAAAGCGTTTCCTGGACGGTCTCTTCATTTGCATGGCATCAGAAGCTGCTCAGAAGGTGTGACTTTTCCCACAGTGAGACCCCAGCTCCTCGCACAATAAAGCCAGGCTGCTCACCCAGAATTAATTAAAGGGGGAGGGGAGCAAAGGACAGGGCACCAGGAGCTGGGGGAGCTGGAAGAGAGCTGGCTGGAGCCCCTTCCCCATACCCCCAGTGTCCATGCACCTGAAGAACCCAGTTCTATGTGCACTCTGCCCAGAGGCCCTCATTCTTTCCTGCAGGCCCTGGGATGCGGTAGACAGGGACCGAGGACCCCAACCTCTGTTTCAGACTTCCCACTGAGCCTTGCAATTCTGATCTACTTGGAAAGGCTGAGCCTAGGACTTGGGCTACAACTCTGGAATGCCCCCATGGTTAGGAAGCCTTTGGTTGCTCCAACCCATGCCAAGGGAGGTGCCAAAAAGAGACCCACAGGGAAGAAGTTTGCGACTGTACTAGTAGCTGGACTATAGGAACAGCCAGGATGGAAGGCCTGAGCTGTGAAGAGTGGCCAGCTGTGGCACAGGAGTCCTGCTTCTGAGACTCCTTGGTATGGCATGATGCACACCCCAGAGCCTCCCTCCTACTCTTGCCTATGCCAGGCTGGTCTTCCTGAAGACCCATGAGCCCAGATTGGCCTTTTCCTGAACAACTGTGCCCTAGGCTTTTCAGCACCTGAGCCTGGCACTTTCTGTCCACAGCTCTGGCCTGGATCTCCCAAAGTTAACTTCGTTCCATGTTACAATAGTCAGCACAGCCTTGGCAGCGCCCAAACACACCTCAGACAATTGGGCACCACCCAACACACCTTGGAAATTGGGCAGCCTCCCAACACATCTTGGACATTGGGCAGCTGCTCTGTTTCAGTTTGGGGACTCAGATTCTATAAACTACGACCAGTTCTACAGTCTAACTAGATCTACAGACAAAGTAGCTTGCAATCCCAACTACAGAGGGATCCAGCCTGTTCTTTTTGGCCCTGGGCTTGGAGAGTGTTAGTAGAGCAAAGTGGTCCCCATCTGAGAATCTTTCAATTTTCCCTCCCTGTTGTTTTCCCCACGAAACCCAGCCAGTGGAGTAAAGGGGAAAGCTGGCACACAGGAGGTCCTTAGACAGAGGGTGGCCTTGGACCTGCCATTGGGACAGCACCATGGGAAGGGGCTATTCCAGGCAAGACTCACTCTTCAACACCCATTTCTAATATGCAAGTTAAATAAACTATTAAATAAACATTTAATAGTGACTAGTACACAACCACCCCCATTGACACCCACCCCTAAGGGACTGACTTAGGCACAACCTTTTGCTCCCTGACCCCTGCCCGGGGCACAGAGTGGCCCTGGCTGTCCTGGCCAGGTGCCCTGCCAGTGCTGAGACCTCAGGATAAAGTCTGCCAGACCAGAGAGCCCTCCACCCACCCTAGGGAGGCCCACGGGAACCCTGTCTCAGGTCACCGAGGGGCTTTCCTGAGAGTTAAGAAAACAGACACCACAGCAAGTGGAATACAAAAATAGAACCTCTCTTTTGTTAAAAAACGAAAACAAAACCCAACAGCAAACAATATCCACAACTAGAAGGCAGCTCCCCAGCTCCTCCCCTTCGCAGTGGCGCCGGCCGGTTGATCTCTCGCTGGAGTCCGCGGCCGGCGGAGCAGGGAGGGGCCGGGAGGGTGCCTATCGGGGCTCCGGGGCCCAAGTCCTCTGGCTGCCCCGCAGGCTGCGCGTGAAGGGCGGGTAGTTGAGGAACTCGAAGCGCAGACTCTGCTCGGTGGTGTGGTGGCCCCGCGGCAGGCGCTTCATGAAGTGCACCTCGCGCTGGTGCTGGCGCGTCTTGGAGCCCTTGCGGGGCCGGCCCTTGCGGGTAAAGGCCATGTACCAGCCCTCGTACTTGGCGTTCTGCAGCGCCGTGTAGTTGTTCTCCAGCACGATCTCGGTGAACACGCAGTCCTTGCCTTTGCCGTTGCTCTGCAGGTAGTTGTGGGGGACAGACGTGGTGTTACGGAGCCTCCCTCCATGTGAGACAGAGGGACAGCGGCCCCAGACAGCAGGTGGGCACCCCAGCAGATGGCGAGGGGAGCCCGAGCCCGGCCCCACCCCCTACCCGGGCACCCGCTCTCTAATCCCTCACAACCCGCAGCCCACCCGGCAACTTCCTGTCCTCCTGGGCAGCAGAGACACATGGCTGTCTACGGAGGGGCTGGGCCCGAGCAGAGGGGCCCAAAGCCTGCCCGTTCTGGCCTCCTGCCCACCAGTCTGGCCTGGCCTGGCCCCGTTTCTCCACCTGCCCCCCTCAGCATCTCGGGACTCGGGATCAGCCCCCGGGACAGCCACCCTACGCGGGGGAGGGGAGGTCTGGGAGGGACTTGGAGGCCCAAGCCATGAAGCCTAGGAGCAGGGAGCTTGAGGCTGGAGAGGAGCCGTGACTAATGGGGCCATTTCAGAGCTAGGCCGAGGGGCTGGGCCTGCGGCTTACTGAACATTCCAAATGCTGGTACCATGTAATTGGACATAATAGCAAAGCAATTTGGCGATTTGTTAAAAAGATATATGGAATTTGCCATCACCACCCCCAACCCTTTTCCTGGCCTTCCTCCTTCATGTTCATAGGTTTTCCTCTCTCTCTGGCTTTTTACTTCTCTCTTACTCCTCCATCTAATCATTAGACAAGCCCTAAGGTAACCAAGGTACCATGCCTGTCCACCCACCTTGCTGAGATTAAAGTGTACCACAGAGGCTCAGTCAGTCTCTTCCCTTCTGGAAACTCACCTTGGCAATTAGCTTCCCCTTCTTGTTCATGCAGATGTAGAGACCTGTCTCTGCTCCACGGACTCGAACTCTACTTCCAAAAGTGTCCGTCTCCACAATGAGCTTTGCTGTCAGGGAAGTTTTGGGATGGTCACTAAATCTGTAACCTCTGTGTTCCAAAGCTTCACCCCAAATGGCTGGCCAGGGCTGTGTCCTATCCCTGGAACAACTGCTCCAAGGGCTAGGAACAGAAAACACAGGCTCTGGCCCCAGCCCACTGATGCTCTGGGCAGCCCTAAGGAAGGTCAACACTCTTTTCAGGACTTCATAAGTCCAGACTTTACCTCTGGACTTATGAAGGGGCTAGGACAGATCACAGTTTACAAGTTTCATAGAACTGTTTGCATGCATCAAATTGAGAAGCCCAAATCTCCATTCCTTTAGCTCTCTTTTCATGCTAGAAACCATATTATTAGGTTGAGGTACCAAGTAAAATTTCATTTGTGTAGGTTGCATAGCTAACTTCAGAGATCTCTGAATATCTTTCCAGCTTAGACCATCATGAGCTCATGCCCCACAGATCATTAAGAACATCTGGGAACAGTGGTGACCTCCCACCACGAGGCTAAAGGTAAAACGCCATCTTGTTCTGCTCCTGCCCTGGCCGTCCCCCACCCTTTGGGCAGCCCCCTGCTCTTCAAGATGTGACAGAGCTGCTGGGGAAATGGCTCAGCCTTCTGCCGTTGTAGAGGACAGGAGTTCACTTCTCAAGACCCACACAACTCACAGCTGCCTGCCACTCCAGCTCCAGGGGCTCCACCACCCTCTTCTGACCTCTGTGGGCACTTGCAGGCACACACACAAGCACTCTTGAGAATGTGCACGCGCACACACACTCGATTTAGAATTAGTGTTATTAGAGGAGAAGGCGTTTCTCCCAGCACTCTGCTTTCTGGACCCAGACACCAGCCAGGAGGATCCTTCCCCTTTCCCTCAGCCTCCCAGTCCTCAGAGTCCAGCTCCAACAAGGAGACACCAACAACTCCGTTGTCTTTTCTCTCCAATACAGCAGGGCTTCTTAGGCACTGGCCAAATGCCTTCAGAGGTGATAGAAGCCTGGGGCCGAATTCTGTGCCCTTCCCTACTTCCTGTTCATGGGGGTGGCCAACTTGCCTGAGAGGCTGGTCCTGACCACTGCTTTATGTAATTGTTCTCTTAGAGACTGTTCCCAAGAAGGGAGGGAGGGCTGAATGAGATGATGGGGCAGAAAACTAGATGGCTTGTCCTCCCTACTACCGAGCCCAGCCCTTTCCTCCTTGGGAAAGCAGTTCTGTCTTAACATGTCTCTCTCCCTCTCCAAAACCAATTCGAGGAGTGGGAGCACAGGGTTCTCAATGAAGCCCTCATACAGCCCAGCCTCTAACTCCCCTCTCTTCACATAGGCACTAGAGTAAGACCCAGAAGTCCCCAAGTCAGCTGGGAAATGCAACCTTCCACCTCTCCTCCTGCTCACGTCTCCTCAGACCCAGGCAATCTGCTCATTACTCTCATGCCTACTTGGTAAAGCAAGAAGCAGTTGCTTCATGACCCAGGGAAGGATGCATTCAGGCTAGGGAAGGGGTGAGAGGACCCTGCTCTGAAGATTTCAGCCCGGCATCAAATGACAAAGTGGGGTACCTCCATCTCTTCTTGGGACCTCTCCATTGCTCTCCCCGGTCTGTATATCTTATGCCCTGTTTTTGGAGCCCCAGACCCAAACTTCTGCCCTGCAGGCAGAGACCAAGGAACCCTGGGAGCCTCCTCTGGGTCTGAGGAAAGGAAGTGGGCATCAGCCCTCTTCTGATGCCTGAAGACAAATTCCATCACGGCCAGTTATGTTTCCCCTTCCCACCTCAAACCCAAGGATGCGGGACCATTTGCTCCAGTAGGGGCAGCCATTCTTTCCTTTTTCTTGTTGGGAAGCTGAGAAGGGCAGCAAGCAGCCAATTTGGAGGGACAAAGGGCCTGAAGGCCTGCTCTGCCAGCCCAGCGGGGGAGCTCGGCCACCAGGCAGGCCGCCCCCCACCCCCACCCAAAGAGCCCCCACTCTCCTCAGACCAATCTGGGGAGTCTGGACATGCAGTTTACAGAGGCTTTCCCAACCCAGGCTTTTAGAAAGCTGAACATTTTCAAACCTATTCTTCCACCTCAGTGACAGGTTTATCCCGGGAAAATTATGTCTCCCCCTCCAGCTTTGAAGGGAAGTCAATGCTGAAAACATGCAGCGAGACACGCTCGATCCCCCAAACTGGCTGGAGAAGAGGAGAAAGTATTCAGGAAATGTTAAAAAAGGTGAAAGCAAGAAGAGTTTTAATCGCTCTGCCAGACGCAGGGGTCTCTCCCGAGATTCCTAGAGAACAATCTTTAGCCTCTTTTTTTAAAAACATTTACAGACTTGCAACTCCTTTTAAACTCTACATCTGAAAAAAAAAAAAAGGCCTGGTTCTTTTTCTGTTTTATATCATTCTTCATTTTTCTTCTTAGCTCTTAAAATGTCTCACCTTTTTATTACACTTTAATAGTGTCTTCCTTTCTCCCTTCAAGCTTGTTTAAGTTGATCATTATTTGAAGGTTTTTAAACTCACAATAATCACTCTCTTAAAAACAGCACGAGCCACCCAGAGGGTTTGCCTTCCTCGTAGTCCATGCAGGACTCTGGAAATTGGCCCCATCTCAAGACAGGAACATTGAATGTTCTGGAAATCAGTCAGTCCTCAGCCCCTGCCCCAGTAGCTCACTGTGCTCAGCAACCCCTGGGGAGCCGCCAGCCAACTCAGCCCCCTGGGGTATCCACAAGCGGAGCTGGGAGTCTAACTTCCAGACCGAGCCTCGCCGTGTTACTGACTCCACTGATCAGTATGCAGCATCCCCCTTTCCAAACTGGGAGAACAGAACGGGGGCTTTCTGGATTTTCTCCCCCCCCTCCTTTTGTGGGCTCTGGCGACATATCCTCTTTCAAGAACTTCCCTTAAATCTGGGCTCCCTCCCCTGACACTCTGCCTCCACCTGCAGCTGGAAAGAGGTGTATGAAGGGGGGAAGGTTGTAAGGGAGACTCCTGAGTTCATTCATTTGCGAAGCAGGAAAGAGAGGGTACCTGTGGGCCACATCCTCCCCAGGGTCCCTTCCCTACCATTCTCTCCAGCTGACCCTCAAGGCACCTTTTTGCCTTAACTCCTTCCCTTCTCAGCTGGGGAGCTCACAGGCCTCTCTGGTCACTGGTGGGGAGCGGCGAGGTCCACCACTCCCTTTCCTCCCCAGGCCCCGGGGAATGCGCCTTACCGAACGGGTCTCCGTCTTCTGCCATGGCGTTGATGCGCTTGTTGGCCAGGACCTGCACGTGCTTCCCGCTGGTGCGGCTGTAGAGCTGGTAGGTCCGGATGAGGCGGCGGCTGAGTTGATCCGTCACCAGGCTCTGCTCCCTCACATGCTGTGTAAAATTAGGTGAGGACTGAACAGTTACCTTTAGGAAATTGAAAAATACACAGCACGCCATTATAATGCTACTCCGCCCAGGGGTCCCGAGTGGTCCCCACTGCCCTTGTGCCCACCTCCCGCCGCGCCAGGCAGCCAGCAAGGACTGGGGGACATCCCCCCAACATGCTGGCTCAGGCCACCAACCCCCGCGGGGAAGTCGCGCAGACCCAGCCCAGGATGGATGAACCCGGGATGAGGGAGAATCTGGACCCACCTGTTGGGAAACACCCTGGGGCTCCCGGCCAGCTCGGAGCAGGGAAGCGGGCTCCCTGCCCAGCGCAGGCCCCCCGCCCGGGCCTTCCTAGAGGAGCAGGGTGCTTTTAAGTAGCGAGGCAACGCTACCCGGCCCGTGACATTTATAAAGACAAATTTACGGAGCAAATGTTGAGAGTGCAAAGGGCCTAGACTAACACGATCGTTGGCCGAAACTGGCCAGGAGTCTCCCCAGGGAGCAGCGGAGATCTTTGCCCGCCGCCGCGCGCCACGCCCCCCCCTCTGGCTCCAGCTCCCGCCTTCCTAAGGGAGGCCAGGTGTGGCTACAGGTAAAGTTCCCATCCACCCGACCTGGCTGGCACGCGTTTGCGACTCGCTGGGCTCAAGACCCTGGGGTTCTAGTCTCTCCACTCACTCGCTGTGTGACTTTAGGCAGGACACTGTCTCTCTGTTCCTTAGATCCCTCCTCGGGGTAGTTTGGGGCTGGGTTGGTAAGGTTCTTTCCAGCCCTGCTGCGCTGGCCGAAGGGTCGGTCCTCGTGTCCCTGCCCGACAGTGTCAGCTGGGTCCCCCGCGCCCGGCCCCCGCCTCTGCGCAGCGCTCCTTACCTGGGCTTGGAGGCAGAGAAGCAGCAAGTGCAACAGCCTGTGGGAGACAAAAGCGGGCAGGAGAGAGGCGCGGGGTGAGCGGGGGGGGAGCGGCGGGAGGCCCGCCCCCGGGGGGACGGGGGGCG